TTTTTTTTTTTTTTTTAATTGAAGAGTAACACCAAAGAATATTACGAGTAGTGGTGTACAGGCTGATATACGACAAACATAATTAACTGTAGAAAAATGATAACGTCAATAATTAATATTGGTGAGAGAGCAGTTTAGTGGTCAAAACTGCAGAAAAATTTGCTTAATGAACTGCGAAAAGTTTCAAGTTTAACAGGTTTATAAATTATATTCAAGACGGCACTATACAGTTGGTATTGGTGACAATTACTGCATTTATAAACTCTAGACAAGCAGGTTTTTTGTCTTTATTTGAGAACAGTTTAATGTACAGTCAATTAACTGACTATGACATAAAACTTTTGTAGTCAATTATACAGATACAACAAAGTATATTGATTATTTACCATCGTATTTAAAATGCAGAAGCAAAAAAACATGTTTGCAACATCCGTTGCAGGTACATCAAACCGAGTTATTTTTGCAGGGTAACATAGACTAAGATTAACATTTTGAAAGTTTCGAGAACGACGTATGAGAAACATCAAAATGTCTTTGAGCTATCAGCAATCACATTTTTCATACAGACAAATCAGGCAATTAGCTTATCCAAAACTGCGCCCTAACTCTGTTCTATTTGCCATCGTAAAACCAATACAACGGCATTTGTAGCAAATACTTGTAGTAATTACCAGAACTTCTTTAGGCATTACGTTTTACGAATACCTCATACTGTTACGGTCTGTGTAATCTTATAAGCAATATACTCTTTCTCTGCTACAACACAGAAAAATACATGTTCACGAAATTCTAAATAATATACATTAATTTTTTAGTTACTACAATCTAAATTGACAAGAAAGATGTGCTAAAGTTATCCTCCAAACTGCTTCATTTTTTTTTTCAAGCTAAGGTTTATGAGTTGATGTTATACGTTAGTGTCATATAGTCTATGTATCGGTGAAAAGAACTGTCAAACACATTGCGACGAAACAAAATTTAGCAAAAAAAAAAAAAAAATTTTTTTCTCTAATGTCACAATCAAATAAATAAATCAGTTCACTATGCCGAACTGCCTGGTTTTTTAATTAAAATTCAGTCTAGATAAAAACTAAATTTTTAATATGAGGTTTAACTGCTGAAAATATGAGAGAGAAATATTTTATCTGTTTTCTTTTAAAACGATTTCTCCAAAGTATTAAAGCGATTTTCTTGCGATTCTTAGACCCGTTCTATATGTTTTTAAGTAATACGGGTTTTATGTAGTTTGGTCTAAGTGCAACAGGGTTGCTCAGTTTACTAATTTATACAACAGGTCGTGAGCGTTTAGCTTTTTCCCTGTAAATTTGGTATTTATAGAGGGCGTTAACTTGCGCATCTTTGACCACCGACTTTAAAAATTCAAACTGCATGCTGGTTCGTCGTTCACTTGCATTTGGTACAACAAATACCGTGACTAAATGAGAGTTTCAAGACAGTTTAAGTAAAGGAATTCAGCAACAGATCAAAGATGATGAGAAGTGCAAAGCTAGATTATTATTATATTTAAAAAATTATAACGGCAAACAGTGCATATCGTTTGATTACAAAACTTAATTTTATTTTTTAAGTTAAGAACTTAAATTTGCAGCAAAATCAAAATTGCAAATCATACTTCAAAAATTTTTTAATTTAAAAAACAGTATTTTAAGAAAGTGTTTGTTATGTATAGTATAGAAGTTAATAAGCAATCTATTGTTTTTTCTGATGATTCAACCAGCAAAAGAGAAATGCGTAGTTGTTTGGGGAATTTTGATTTTAAAGAAGATTAGAAAGTGATAAATTTTAGAAAGTGATAAATTCCTAAATATTAGCAAAGAAAGTGACAGGACGCTGTAGCAATAGCGCTTCTAGACTTGCCTTTTCTATTAT